CAACAATTAACAACCAAGAATTTTGTGCACAGTGAAAGTAAGCTTCAGAAATGAAAAAGAGATACAGTCTTTTCCAGACAAAAAATGTGGAGAGAATCTGCCACTACCAAGACAGCACTACAAGAACTGCTAAAGGGGCCTCTTAATGTTCAAACAAATCCAGAAACACAGCAATACAGAATCTCTTTAAAGCAAAAATCTCAGTCTATAAAATAAAAATCAAATTTAAAATAAAAAAGGCATACCATCAACAAATACCATGATGAATGGAATAGTACCTAACATCTCAATACTAATGTTTAATGTAAATAGCCTAAATGCTCCACTTAAAAGATACAGAATTGCCGAATGTATAAGAATTCACCAACTAAGTATCTGCTGCCTTTAAGAGACTTACCTAACACGTGAAGACTCACATAAACTTAAAGAAGTGAAAAATGACATTTCATGTAAACAAACACCCAAAGACAGCTGAAATAGCCATTCTTATATCAGATAAACCAAACTTTAAAGCAACAGCAGTTAAAAAAAACAAAGAGGGACATTGTATAATGATAAAATGCCTTGTTCAAAAGAAAAATATCACAATTCTAAATATATATGCACCTAACAACGGAGCTTGCAAATTTATAGAACAGTTACTACCAGACCTAAGATATGAAATAGCAACCCACTAATAGTGAGGAACTTCAATACTCCACTGACAGCACCAGACAAGTCATCAAGGCAGAAAGTCAACAAAGAAGTAATGGATTTAAACCATACCCTGGAACAAATATTCTGTGCAGATATTTACAGAACATTCTACCCAACAACTGCAGAATATACAGTCTATTCATCAGCACATGGAACTTTCTCCAAGATAGACCATATGATAGGCCACAAAACAAGTCTCAATAAATATAAGTAAATTGAAATTATATCAATTACTCTATCAAACCACAGTGGAATAAATCTGAAAATCAGCTTTAAAAGGAACCTTCCAAACCATACAAATACATGGAAATTAAATAACCTACTCCTGAATGATCATTGGGTCAGCAATAAAATGAAGATGGAAAATGAAAGTTATTTGAACTGAACAGTACTAGTGACACAACCTACGAAAAGCTCTGAGATACAGCAAAGGTGATGCTAACAGAAAAGTTCATAGCCATAAATGCCTGCATCAAAAATCTTAAAGAGAACAAGCAGACAATGTAAGGTCAAACCTCCAAGAGCTAAAGAAACAAGAACAAGCCAAACCCAAACCCAACAGAAAGGAAATAACCAAGATCAAAGGAAAACTAAATGAAATTGAAACAAAATAATACAAAAGATAAGTAAATTAAAAACCTGGTTCTTTGAAAACACAAATAAAATTAATAAACCGTTATCAATATTAACAAGAAAATAAGTTAGAAAATCCAAATAAGCTCAATTAGAGAGGAAAAAAAAAGAAACAGGAGATATTACAACCGGAACCACAGAAATACAAAAGATTAATCAACACTATTATGAATACCTTTAAACACATAAACGAGAAAACTTAGAGGAGATGGATATATTCCTGGAAAAATACAGCTCTCCTAGCATAAATAAGGAAGAATTAGACATCATGAGCCCACCAAAAACAAGTTACAAGATTGAAATGGTAATTTAAAAATTACTATCACCACCAATAAAAAGTACAGAATCACAAATTCATAGCTGAATTCAACCAGACATTCAAAGAAGGATTGGTAAAATGTATTTGAAACTATTCCACAAGACAGAGAAAAAGATAACCCTCACTAAATTATTCTATGAAGTCTATATTACTCTAAAACCAAAAACCAGAAAATAGCATAACCTAAAATATACAACTATAGGGCAATATCCCTGATGACCATTGATGCAAAAATTCTTAACAAAACAGTAATTAACTGAATCCAGCAACATATCAAAAAGATAATACACCATGATCAAGTGGATTTCATATTAGGAATGCAGTGATGGTTTAACATATGCAAGCCAATAAATGTGACACACAACATAAAGGTAATTATAAACAATATTACATGATCATCTCAATAGACTCAGAAAAAGCATTTGACAAAAATAAGCCTCCCTTTATAATTAAAACCCTCAGCAAAGTTAGCATACAAGGAACACACCTTAATGTAATAAAAGCCATCTATGACAAACTCACAACCAATATAATACTGAATGGGGAAAAGTTGAAAGCATTTCCTCTGAGAACTGGAACAAGACAAGGACGCCCACTCTCACCACTTCTATTCAACATAGTACTTTAAGTCCTAGCCAAAGTAATCAGAGAAGAGAAAGAAATAAAGGACATCTAAGTAAGTAAAGAGGAAGTCAAACCGTTACTGTTTGCTGATGATATAACTGTAAACATAGAAAACCTAAAGACTTCTCCAAGAAGCTCCTAGAACTGATAAATGACTTCAAAAAAGATTTAGGATACAAAATTAATATACAAAAATTAGTGGCTCTGCTATACACCAACAGTAGACCTGAGAATCAAATCAAAAACTCAATTCCCTTTTCATTAGCTATAAAAAAATACAATACTTAGAAATGCACCTAACTAGGAAAATTAAGTATATTTTCTATTTATTCCTACAAGGAAAATTACAGAATGTAGATGACACAAACAAAGGAAAACAAATCCCATGCTTTTGTATGGGTAGCATCAATACTGGGAAAATAATCACACTGCCAAAAGCCATCTACAAATTCAATGCAATTCCCATCAAAATACCATCATCATTCTTGAGAGAATTAGAAAAAAACAATTCTATATTTCACATAGAACCAAAAAGTAGCCCACAGAGCCAAAGTAAGAGTAAGCAAAAATAACAAATCCAGAGGCATCACATTACCTGATTTCAAACTAAGACCACAGTCACCAAAACACAATGGTACTGGTATAAATATAGGCACATAGACCAATGGAACAGAATGCAGAACGCAGAAATAAACCCAAATCCTTACAGCCAACTGATCTTCAATAAAGCAAACAAAAACAAAGTGGGGAAAGGATACCCTATTCAACAAATGGTGCTGAGATAATTGGCTAGCCACCTTTAGGAGAATGAAACTGGATCCTTGTCTCTCACCATATGCAAAAATCAACTCAAGATGGATCAAGGACTTAAATGTAAGACTTGAAACTCTAAAAATTATTCAAGAAAACATCAGAAAAACTCTTCTAAACACTGGTTTAGGCAAGGATTTCAGGACCAAATATTCAAAAGCAAATGCAATAAAAACAAAGATATATCGCTGAAACTTAATTCTAAAGAGCTTTTACATGACAAAATAAACAGTAGGCAGAGTAAAATGCAACCCAGAGAGTGGGAGAAAATCTTCATAATCTATACAACTGACACAAGTCTAATATCCAGAATCTACAACAAACTCAAGCAAATCAGTTAGAAAAAAAATAATCCCATCAAAATGTGGACTAAAGACATGAACAGGCAATTCTCAAAAGAAGAGATACAAATGGCCAACACTCATATGAAGAAATGCTCAGCATTATTAATGATCAGTGAAATGCAAATCAAAATCACAAGAATGGCCATAATACAAAAAAAAAAATAGATGTTGGCATGGATGAGGTAAAGAGGGCACACTTCTGCACTGGTAGTGGAAATGTAAATTAGTACAGCCACTATGGAAAACAGTATGGAGATTCCTTAAAGAACTAAAATTAGAACTACCATTTGATCCAGCAATCCCACTACTGGATATCTACCCAGAGAAAAAGAAATCATTATACAAAAATGATAATTGCACATGCATGTTTACAGCACCACAATTTGCAATTGCAAAAATGTGGAACCAACCCCTATGTCCATCAATCAATGAATCAATAAAGAAAACTGTGGTATACATATACACAATGGAATACTACTCAGCCATAAAACGGAATGAATTAATGGCATTTGCAGCAACCTTGATGGAATTGGAAATTATTATTCTAAGTGAAGTAACTCATGAATGGAAAACCATACATCATGTGTTCTCATTAAAAGTGGGAGCTAAGCTATGAGGATGCAAAGGCATAAGAATGACCCAATGGACTTTGGGGATTCAGGGGAATAGGGTGTGAAGAGGGTGAGGAACAAAGACTACAAACTGGGTTCAGTGTATACTGTTTGAGTGATGGATGCACCAAAATCTCACAAAGCACCACTAAATAACTTACTCATATAACCAAATACCACCTCTTCCCCCAAAATCTATGGGGGAAGAAACAGACAGTGTGATATGGGGATAATGCTGCAAATGAGCAGTTCACAAATACCTCATTTAAAGATGGGACAATACAATGCTGAAAATAAAACCAACAGTGGGAGACAATCCACATCAATTTGCCAAGAAAAAAATTCAACTTGTTTGTGCTCTAATTGAAGACAGACAAGTAATAGCAGAAACAATAGATAACACCACAGATTGCTCAATTGCTTCAGCCTGCACAATTCTGACTCAAAAATAAGAGTTGAGCAAACTTTACACTAGATGGGTACCAAAACCAGATCCTGACACGTTATTTTTTTGAAGACTTGTAACAAGAGATGAAACATGCTTTTACAAGTACAATCCTGAAGACAAAGCACAACCAAAGTCACAAAAAAGTGAAAGTGCTACAGTCAAACCAAAACTAACAGTTTTTGGTTTGACATGAGCATGACCTTAGCTCATAGTTCTGATTTGGCTCCTTCTGACATTTTTTTTCATAAATACTAAATATTCTTTAAAGGGCACTCATTTTTCTTCAGTTATTAATGTAAAAAGAGATTGCATTCTTATGGTTAAATTCTTGGGCCCTCAGTTCCTTAGGGATGGGTTAAATGGCTGGTATTATCACTTACAAAGTCCTTTGAACTTCATGAAGCTTGTGTTCAAAAAATAAAGTTTATATATTTTATTTTTACCTTTGAATAATCTTTTTCCCTGAAATTTGTGAAGTCTCTTTATATATGATTTATTTTTAGATATTGACTTACATGATTGTGGAGGTGTCATGTCCAAAATCTGCAGGGTGGGCAGGCTGGAGACCTGAAAAAGCCAACACCATAGTTGAAGTCTTCATGTCCAAAGACTGTCTGCTGGCAAAATTCCCTGTTACTCAAGGAGGATCAATCAATTTTTCTCTATTTGGGCTTTCAGCTTATTAGAGAAGGGCAACCCATATAATGGGGGGCAGTTTTATTTATTCAAAATCCACCAAGTTAAATGTTAATCTCATTTATATCACCTTTACAGAAAGATGGAAAATAATGTTTACTCACATATATGATCATCATGACTTAGCCACATTGGCACAAAATTTTCCATCACACAGAGGTAAAGACCAGAGTAGTGGTAAGTGGCTGGCAGCAAGTAAGTATGGTTATAACAGAGTAATGAAAAAGATCTTTGTGGTGAGGGAACAGTTAAGTATCTTGACTCTAGTAATAGATATGCAAATCTATGTATGTAATAAAATTGCCAAGAAATAAGTACAGAGACACACAAATAAACACAAACGAAATTTAAGAAATCTGAACAAGATTAGTAGATTGTGTCAATGTCAATTCCTGATTGTGATATTATACTGCAGTTTTATAAGTTATTGAAAGAGGCATTAAAGAGTTAAAGGGATCTATCTGTATTAATTCACACAACTACATGTTAATCTATAATTATCTCAAAGTAAAATGTTTAATTTAAAAATAAAGACATACTAATTTACTCACTAAAGCAATTTTTAAACTTCTTAAATTTGATGTTAACTAAATGTGATCTTACCATGCCTATAAATATACAGTACCTGAAATTTAAAATTATTACCTACAAAGTTATTTGTAGATCAGCATGGTCTTTTTACATGATCTTTGAATATTACATATTACTGATTTATCTCTATGGTTTCAGAACTCTATTCATCTCTCAAAACCAGCTTTTGATTTCCCACTTATTAAAATATTTTGACATTTTCCTTTTAACATTTTGAAATCCTGTTCCATGCATTTGAAGAAGTTTCTTTCTTTTAAAAATATAGGATTGGATCAAATATTTATTTTCTGTTCACTTAGCGGTAAGATTGCTTTGCTATGCTTGCTTTGTGTTAATTTTCCTTATTACAGAAGGATCAGGCTTGCCAAATGCCAAATTTGAATTTGTATGTGAAACATCATATGTTCAATAAGAAATGGGGAAGAAGTCTTGAGGTACTAAGAAAAGGAGGGGAACATAATGTGAGTAAATAACAAACTGTCGTATAGGTCATACACATGCCTCTATCTGTCAGTTTTCCGCTTTCAAATGCCCTTGGCCAAAAGCTTACTAATATCGCTACCCAGATTTGAGAATTTTATACACATTTTTCTCACCAATGGACAAAGAGCCTACAATTTAAATGAGAACAACTGAAAGGTTTTTGTTGTTATGGTGATGGTGGTGGTTGTTTTGAGAGAGTCTCACTCAGGCTGGAATGCAGTGGCATGATTATATGGCTTGGCTCTCAGCAGCCTCATCCTCCCAAGCTCAGGTGATGTTAGTATCTCAGCCTCCAAAATAGCTGGGACTACATGCATGTGCCACCATACCTGAATAATTTGTTTTAATTTTTTGTAGAGAGAGAGAGTTTTGCCATATTGCCCAGATTGGTCTTGAGCTCTTGGCTTAAGTGATCTGCCTACATTGGCCTCCAAAAATGCTGGGATTACAGGCTAAAAGTAATTTTGTCAAGGACAAAATCTGAAGCTTCAAGTGGAAATAAAAATTCTGAAAAACATATATTACCCACCGGGGTCTTGAAAGCATCAGGACTAAAATACTTTACTGATCAGATCAGATGTGATATTAAAAATATGGCTTTTTGTTATTGAGTAATGAAGTATGTCAAACATTTGGAATATTTGCAGAACTCAATGAACCAATATGTCCCAAATAATCAATGTTTGATTTTTAAAATTTATGTATGAATAAAAGACCTATGCAAAGAGAAAACAGTTCAATGGATTTTACAAGGCAAAATGAATCCACTGATTGAGATTTCACATTGCAACTAAACATTAAAACACTATCATTTTTTACTTTCTCTGTAGTATCAATTATCACATTTCCACAATTATCACATATCTTATTAACTATCCATGTGAGACTGAATGTTCTTAATTTATCTCAACCAAAACAATGTATTGTTATAGATTGAATGTAGAAGCAAATAAGAAATAGCCTGCCTTCTATTAAACCAGACATTACAGAGGTTTAAATGTATGTAATACAATGCCATTTTGCTCACTGAAGTGTTTTATTTGGAAATCGTATATCAAAAATTTATATTAGCATCTAATTATTTTATTATAATGATTTTACCACTGAATATTTTAATTGCTCAATTTTTATTTGTAATATGAAAGATATTAACAGGTATGGCCCACATAACATCTCTTTATGCTCCTCAATATTTTTTAAACATATTAAACTCATTCTAAAACCAAAACATATAATTGCTGTAGTTTTTATTAATAAATTAGTAAATTATAGAATTAAACTTTTCCACATTGGGTGAAGTTTCCTTCAGTTTAGAGTCATTGTTCTTGGGCAAGAACACCACTCCTTATCTATGTGTCTTTGCTAAACAATGGAGGTATAATTCCTGTATTGGTGGAATAAAGTGAGTGTTCACTGTTTGCTTATTGAAGGGTAGTTAGTATGATTAGCTTTGCATGGCTACAAGGAATGAGTAATATCTAAGTTAGGAATTAGTATTTTCCTATGTAACTTGGACCTATCTCCATTGGGCTCCTTTTCTAATCTCTAACTATTTCTGTTCATCCTTGCTGATCCCTTTCACTTGTTTCTTTTTTATCTGCAGCAAATCTTTCTTTTCCTCCCTTGCCTCTCCACCTTTTTCTCTAACTTCCATCCCAGTCCTCCTTTTTTTCTCTCTAAACTTATATTAAAAGATTCAGTGTAAAGTGGCTATGTTCACTGAGGGGATGCTTGTAGTAACATTGGATCATGAAGAATATTTTAAAGATATTATCTCCAACATGATTTTTGATTTTAATCAGTCTCATTTAATGGTGGAATAGGCAACTCAGATAGCAGTGAGATATTAAATAATAATTGCTTGACAGGAAAATAGCATAATCCTTTTGAAGCACGTGGTAACATTTATTATTTAGGCAACCAAGAGACAAGACTAGTCTACTATGCTTGACTTATAATAGGACAATTTACAATTACAGATTAGTTAGAAATACAATAATGACTGATGTGATTCAATATGATAATTAAAAATCTTTATATTCAAAGATATTTAAGAAAAATGTAATACTTTATGATATACAAATGGAAAAATGACATGATATATTCAGAATATATACATGCATAAGAAAAAACGACACTAAAAAGGAAAGAAAATACACTAAAATATGGCTATTTAGTGATTCGATGTTTAGAAATGTGATAGCTATCAGGTGCTGTTGAAATTTGGAAGGAATGTGACAATAAATGCTTTTTTTAAATGTTTGAGATGGAGTCTTTCTTTGTTGCTCAGGCTGCAATGCAGTGACACAATCTTGGCTCACTGCAACGTCTGCCTCCCAGGTTTAAGCAATTCCACCTCAGCCTCACAAGTAGCTGAGATTGCAGGCAAGCACTGCCATGCCCGGCTAATTTTTGTATTTTTAGTAGAGACAGCATTTCACCACGTTGGCCAGGCTGGTCTCAAACACCTGACCTCAGGTGATCAGTCTGCCTTAGCCTCCCAGTGCTGGGATTACAGGCATAACCCACTGAGCCCGGCAGACAGTGAATATTTCTAATAGAGAAAAAGATGCTTAGCCAGATACTTCACTGTCTACTGTGCTCTGTGGCAATGTTCTCGTCTGAAACAAACACTGGGGATGAAGTTACTTGCTACTTAGTTTACCTGAGTTCCAGGTTTATCTTCTACATGTTGGAATAAATCCTCCAAAAAATCCTGACTACATTTAACATGAAATAATACTTTGAATCAAAGTTGCAAATGCTCATTGACATGTGTTGGCCATAGTGTCTCAACCTTTTCCTTTGTATGGCATCTACTCTTTTTATCTGGAGACACAAAGACTCTTTTTCTTTTCCTTTAATATCTAAGAATTCATTCTATGTTATTATGTTATTTATTCTAAATTTTTATTTTTTGTACCAAGTGTGCTCTCTGAATACAGTAGTTTCAAATCTATAGTATTTCAGGAAAGCTTTTTTAAAATTAAGTTTTAAAGTAATTTTAAGTATTATTAATTTGGTTCTTACTTTGAATCTCCTCTTTAAGATCTCCTATTGTCTATATTCAGTATTTTTACTTTCTCTTGATTTATTTTTATCTCTGTCTCCTTGATTTGTGTGTGTGTGTGTATGTGTGTATACACACACATAGATATTCTTCATATTTTATCCCTATATAAATAAATTTTCAGAATGAGGGCCAGGGGGTGGGTAAAACTTTCTCTTTCAACTTACTTGTGAACTTAAAGTATAGGTAGCAGATGTGGGGAAAATGGCAGTAGTGGCATCATTTTTGAGAATTCCTGAATCTTAACATAAAATCAGAAAAACAAAACAAAACAAAAAGCACACACACACAAATTTCTGGAGACATTTAAAACAAAACTAGGTGACAGTGAATGAAATAAACCCCAAAATCAAAGCTTATTGTCAGAGAGGCATTCACAGCAAAAAAATAGGCATTTGTTGTTTTTAAACCATGATAGGCGGATTTGAGTATTGTAGCTCCAACTGGAAGACTTTCTTCCACCCAGTGAGAGGGCAAACACGTACACGCACACGTGCACGCACAGGCGTGCACACGCACAGACACACACACACACGCAAGCGTCCTTTCTCTCTTCTAGTAACCTTAAGGCATAGGCATTATGTTGTTGTATTTCTTCACTCCTCTGTTTCTTCTAGTTCAGCTTTCATTTGTAAAATTTTCTTTTATTTCTAAAAATCTTCTGGGTTGTTCCCCATTTTATCTCTGAGTTTTAAAAAATATTTAATGTTACTCTTTCACATTATAT